AAAATGGAATTTAATGTACATATAAATTGCTCTTTGCAAAAATGGCTCTCTCTCTAATTTAAGGGTGGCAAGCCCGTAAACTTACAAAGCGACAACACACTGCAGTATTTGCTTGTATCTTGGCCATTCAAAAATTTGGTTAGCCAAGAAAGATCTTAAATTTTTTTAACTTTATTTGGCTGTCTCTCACCAGTGTGGGGTGACCCTAAAAAAAAGTAGTTTATCTTCTTTTTACTTTTAAAAAAGTTATGCAGAAAAAAGGGGGTTTACTAGCCCCTTGCTCTCTGCATTTTAGTTGCCTCTTATGACATGCATGGTTTTAGGGAGCCGGGTTCTTTTTTACTTCTCCATGGAGATAAAGGAAATAAGTAAGAATAATAACTATCAAGAAAATAGAGGAAAAACTCAGAGGGTGTGTATACTTGTATGTGTATATGAATGTGTGTGTTTTAGGTAGTGGTTGGTAGACAGCAGCTGCCCAGGTTGCTGTCTAACAATTGTTCGGCCAAGCAAGTGTAAAATGGAAACCTGAAATTTGGGTTTTATGATGGTAGGATTGCTGGTTTTTTTTCTGTTTCATGAACATGCAAGGTTTCAGGTACGCTTTGCAACTTCTACTTCACTTAGGTCACACTACACATACATGTAAAAGCATATATTACACACCCCTCTGGGTTTTCTGCTATTTTCTTTCTAGTTCTTGTTCTTGTTTATTTCCTCTTATCTCCAGGGGGAAGTGGAACAGAATTTTTCCTCCGTAAGCCATGTGTGTTATAAGAAGCGACTAAATCCCGGGAGCAAGGGGCTAGTAACCCCTTCTCCTGTATAAATTACTAATTTGAAAGAAAAACTTTTGTTTTTTCTTTTTGGGCCACCCTGCCTTGGGGGGATAAGACCGGTTTGTTGAAAGAAGTAGAAAGCATGTGTAGTGTGACCTAAAATAAAAGTAGAAGTAACGAGTTTATTCCTGTTATCTTACATGTTTATAGACAAAGAAAACACACCAGCAGTCTACCGTTGTGTGAAACAATTGCGATCTTTAAAACGTATTCCTCTTTCTTTCAAGGCACCGGCTGTATCCCACCGAAGCACGGTTTGGGCCCCAAAAAGGAAAAGAAAGGTTTCTCTTTTTAACTTTAGTAATGTATACAAAAGAAGGGGTTACTAGTCCCTTGCTCCCAGCATTTTAGTCGCCTCTTACGGCATGCATGTCTAGCAGAGGAAGAATTCTGTTCCACTTTCCCATGGAGAAGATTTAATATTATGGTCTGTAAATCTAAAAATAATTAAGGTGTGAAATTTGCGTTGCTAACCGTTCATTTTTTTCATGTGCTCTCCAGTGACTGTGGCACCCATGAGTGATACAGTCATCAAAATGTTATTGCTAAGTGGGGCAAGTTGTGTCCTCTAGTCAGCATTTTCCAAAATTTATATTCGTTATGTATTTGCAAATGCTTTATTTATATAAAAAGTTTAAGAGGGTACTTACAGTTCACTTGGAGGGCTGTGTGGGGCCATGTACGCCTTGATTTTTGTGGGGTAGTCGATCTCTTGTTAAGACTGTTTTGTATTTTCTACCCTCAAGGGAGGAGCTTTGATGTCAGTGAGAGGCTCTTGATCCCAGGAAGTAGACTTATCCTCCCCTTCCTTGGATCAAACCTGAATGCCTTTCATTTCCAGGTTCTGTTTTTCCCCTTTTATGGGTTTAGTGCTTTCCCTTTTTTAAACAAATTTTAATTTTAAATCTAACTTCTACTTCACTTTCATATCCTTATCTTGTTTATCCATCTTTTAAACCCCATTTATCTTTTTTTTCTCATAATTCAGCACAAACAACTTGTGTAAAAATATTTGTGATTTTTTATTTTTCTTTTTTAGTTCCTGTGCAAAGGGGATGTTGTTTTCATGCTATTGAGGTGGCTAAATTGATGACAATTTCTGCAGTGAATAGTGTGGACTTTACTATGCGTCTTGCATCCTGCAGGTGGAGATCAAGGTCCCCCGAAAATAATTTGACCCTGGTTTACATTTTGCAGTGTTTGTGTATGTCAGGCAAGGCTGTGTTGGTCTTAAAAATGTTATGGTATATGCTATTTTACCCAAAATTTATGTTTACTGTTATTTTTTTTTAATTATTTTTTATTCTTGGGCTATTTCTTTCATTGCCTTCTAGATATCACTATTCTGTTTTTTTTTGTTTTTTTCTCTTGGTCCACTGTATTTACCACTCAGACTTTATTGCCAGAGATATTAAAGTGTTTAATTCAGTTTCTGAAATTATCATTTTTGTCACCAGGTTCTTATTTGTTTTTTTTCTCCATTTTGCCCCTACTTTTATTGCCTTGGTGCATACCCTTTTGTTCTCCTTTCTTCGCACTATGATTGTCTTCCATTTTGGCTATATTTATTTTGTCCCCGTCCTGTTGCATCCTTAAAGTTTCAACTAATATATGTACGTTTGACCAAATTAGAAAACTACTTTGGTAACCTGTTGACATTAAAATTTTTTATCATATTAGGTACATATATTACAGTGCATTAATTTTATATCTCAGTAATTATTAATACTACAGTTATCTGTACAGATTATAATTTTCCTTCTTTCCTTTGGAAGGTATTTCGTCAGCGCACGCCTGAAGATGCTATTAACCTAGTTGCTCGGCTGTTAGAATACACGCCTTCAGCTCGCATAACTCCACTCCAGGCATGTGCACATAAGTTCTTTGACGAACTCAGGGACCCCAACACCAGACTACCCAACAACCGAGAACTACCACCCCTCTACAATTTCACCGAACAAGGTAGCCACTATGTACTTACTTAGCTTCTCCCTTCCTGCTCTCCTTCAATTAAGAATTTATTCTCTTCATTTATTACATGATTTTACAATACAAATAATGTTATATATTTATTATTGAGACTAGTAGGTTTGTATTGAGTAATACCAGTAAACCTTTCATTGCCACAACCCATGAAATAAAATGCCAACTCATGATTTAAATAACAAAGTCTTGAATAGTAGAGAATTCTTTTTCTAAAGGCAATGATACCAAAAATGCAGAATTTGATAGAAAACTTACAGAATTACATAGGTACAGATTTGATGGCTTGGTGCAATTTTCACATTGGCAGTTTGCCCATTTAAGCCAATTCCTTGATATTTCACTAGTGTATGACTTCTCTTCTGTCAGTTGAGCACAAAAAAAAACTGCCCTTCAACCATCAAAACTTGGTATAATGTGCAGAGAAGATAGTAATTTGGCCAGTTTTACACAGAATTCCAATTTAAAAACAATCAGAGTAACATTGTAGTATTCCAGCCACTAATGCAACCTTCCTTCTGTTCATGAATCACATTGCCATGGCCTCTCCTATATAAACTTGCCTCCATTTTGAATCTGTTTTCACATAAAAGAATCAAAGTTTTATGCTGCTTCTTGGATTAATAAAACAACCAAGAATAATTGGTTATGGTTTTGGCCTTCCCAATAATTGAAGCAGCCCTGGTAAAACCCATAAAACACATGGGGGGGGGGGGGGTCTACCCTTCCTCAAGGAAATCAAGAATCAAATATTTCCACCACTTTCAGCCCTATATCGAGCTACTTCCAGTCTAAACTGACCAAAATCATCTCTTTCACCAGTATGTCTTCCATTTCATCAGTTAATTCCAATACACAGTCAGTGAAACTATAAACATCCCACAAAACACCTCGGGGTTACTACTATAAACCATACACATGGTCAGTTTTGCTTTTCCCATCATGTACCACATGAGGCAGGACTTATTTGTTCATATTGTGCACACTCGCCACACAGACCCATTCTCTCATGTCTAAGCCAAAATATACCACTCGCAGCATATTTGAGGAAGCTTTGCTTAACCCTTTTGCTGTCATCACTGAGATTTGTGTTATTGATGCCAGGGTCTCTTGGAGATCTACATCATAGCTCAGTTCACTCAGATCAATTGTGAGCAGTAAATTTGGCCTAGATGTTAGGGAATGGGTCTGTGTGGTGAGCATGCACAGCATAAAACCAATTCTGCCTTATGCAGTAGTGCATGATAGGAAAAGCAAAAATCTGACCATGTGTCTTAGTTTAAAAAGGAGAATTGAGATATTCTCATGGATGTTTTATTGGCTGTTTCTTGATATCATTTGATAGAATGGAAGCATACTTCTGAAATAAGAGAGAATTTTGGTTGGTTCCTGGACAAAAAGTAGCTTGAAATTGTCTTCAAAGTTTCAGAAATTTTGTATTTTTGTTAGTTTTCCTGAGGATGGGTAAAGCCCCTCAAAACATCATCCCCTGGTCTGTTTTATAGATTTTTTCATAGCTTCTTGTAAAATGTAAGGAATATTGTGAAATTACTTTTGGTATTAATATTATTGATATATTTCAGAAATCAAGATCCAACCCGAGTTGAACAACAAACTGATTCCTCCACATTATCGTGGGGAACCAGCTAACAGTAGCACGGAGGCGGCTCCTCTGCCGTGGACTCTTCGGAGGGTGCTGCAGCTGCTGCTGTCAATGAAAACTGAGTTAGAATGCTGACAGCTCAGCCAGCCACCCCTGCAGCCTCCCCAACTGCTTCCCTGCCCCCTTGTGCCATTCCGTTGACTGCTCCAATGTAGAAAAGGCCTGGCTGAAGGGGCTTGGAGGCCTGTCTTCTTGGGTGGATAGCTGTACCTCAAGCTGCAGTCTGGCTGTTAAACGTGCGGGCCCTCATGATGTGTAAAGTGTAAATACATTGAATAATACTAGTGAATGACTCCCCAGGCTTGAGGCACCTAGCAGCCACACCGTTTGCTTGTTATTGCATACACTGTTGTGCATGTGTGGCTGGGCCCAGGTGTCCTCGACCTTGAGGCAGGAGCTTGGTGCTGACGGCTAGCCCTCGGGTGCCCCGGGTGCCCACTGCATGCGTGGTAGCATACTGCTCACGGGGTCCTGCGAGCACCCAACCCCTCGCCCAGCAGTGGAATCAGCCTCGGATGCGTTGTATTTGTCTTGGACTATCATAGTTAGGTCCATCATGTCTGCACCAAGTTTTGTAGGCCACTGTTGCATGGGAGTCTGTATGCTCTTGACGAGGTGTATAGTTTGACCAACAGCAATGTGCTCCCTCTTGTATTCTGCTGCCTCCCACCTCCCCTGCTGTCCCCATTACCTTCTCACCTGCAGCAGCTAGTTCACCCCAAGCCAGTGCTAGTGATGAGTTGTGAGTTGTTGGTGTGTCACACTGAGTTAGTGCCAATGTTACTTGTAGTATCACCTCTGTTTGCCCGCCCTGGGCTCACTTTGTTCCTGCTCTTCTGCCAGGGACACCAGCTTCCCATTGTAGCGTCAGTGTCCCTGGAATTGCAAAAAAAAAAATCCAGTTATAATTATTATTATTATTATCATATTATTATTATTATTATTATAAGGCCAGCCTGGGCTTCACTGGTCCCTAGACAGCACATACACCACCACACTATTCCATCACCAGTAGAGGGCGAGGTAAAGGCTTATTACCATATTATATGAACTATAGCCATCATAGTGTGGATCATTTCTTGTCATCCAGCCCTGTTACAGCAAAAGGTTGTACAGCTCATGGCAGTATAGGCTAGACTGGACATCATGCTTGCACTGCATGCATGGAAGTCTAAAACGATGAGGTTTGTGTACTGTCCCTCAGAATAGGCTGATGAACTTATAGAATGACAAGCAGTCTGTTGCTTGTCTAGCATTTTAATGTTGGAATTCCTCTTCTGTATATAGTGTTCATTTTCACATTTGCCATCACAAGTACAATTTATACATAGACAGTTCTTAAAGCGGTCTCTGCAGATGACCAGGGCTCCAGGCCACTTTGTAGTTCATCACAGTATTTGAATGGATGCTGCTGTTCCAGAATCCTGTATGATCCTCTGTACTCATTGATTGCTGGTGGAGAGGTGTCAGGTGTATCATATTTGTTCTTTCCTTCTTTCTAATTAACCCTATTGTGTAAGTGGTTGAGCAGGAAGACGACAATGCTAACTCAGTAAACTACACCCTTCCCATCCCCATCCCCTGGTGGTGTTGTCAGATACCATCCAACCAGTGACACTTGCATGGAAGCCTAGTTATACCATCAGTGATTAGGAGCTTTAGAAGGTCGTACTACAATAAGGTTCATTTTCAGTATCCACAACCGGAAGAAATCACTTGAACCTCATTGAACTACTGTCCAGGGCCTTGTAGATTACTCTTTAAAGCATTTGCTCATTCATGTTTCTCATTTATTATGATGCAGTGGGAGAACAAAATAAGTAAACAGCCTGGTTGCTATTTTTTCTCATAGCATGGATGAATCATAGTTTTTATTTACTCTAATAATATGATTGGTATTGCTGGTAGGTACAAAAAGGGTATTACCCTTCTTGTCTCTTGAATATTGAATACACAGACCGTATCAGCAGATGAACTTTAAAATATTGACAAGGTTCATTTCTATATATTGCAGAGTAGGAAGTAAAGCCTTATTTTAATCAAATCAAAAGTTAATAAAGCTTAATTGAAAGCTTTACACTTCCTCCAGTGAGACTGTCCATTCTCCCAGTCAGATTTGTTTAATTGCAAAATCTTATCGTTTTTTAGTCACACAGCTCAGTGAAAAATTTCTTTGCATCCATGTTTTAAGGGCAACAAGCCCACCAATACCTCGATGTCTCAGGCCCGTTTACTGTAAATTTTGGTTACACAATATCTGATTTTGAATGTTGTGTTTATTTTATAATTGGGATATACACATTTCACAGACAAATCATTTGCATTGTAATTTTTTTTGATCAAGGGTAATCAGGAATAAATTAAGTGGGGCCCAGGAGTGCTTGAGGCATTGGTGTTGTGCGCCAGACTCTCACACAGATCATTTAGGGCCTAGGGCAAGTGAAGTGAAGCAGGAGGGGCTAATATATATATATATATATATATTCAAGAGCCAGCAGTCACATTCCTTCAGTCTTGTTTATACAGGACATGGGATTTTAAGATTTATATATTGTTTAAACTCATTTTGGGAAATAAGCATGAATTGTACATAATGACAAAAATCTCATATCCTGAGTGAACAAGTTGTGTGTAATTGTGATGGTTGGCATCTCATCACTTAGTATATTCTGCTACTCATCCAGGGCACGAAATCATTTCCTTTCAAATATTTTAGTAAAATGGACAAGTTCAGTGTTGGCTAAGTTTTAGATGGGACTTTCAATTAGGTTTCATATTCCGTTTCATAGTGCAAAATAACAAGCCATTATTGAAGTCCCCACATCAGAAAGACATTCACTGAATATATCAATACGTGAAAATGCAGTGCTGGGCGTTTGTGGGGTATTGCTGCCAGAAAATCTGTCACCTTGATTTGTGGCTTGTTCACTCAATAGAAAGAAACACAATTTGTGCAGAAGTAATATATATATATATATTATATATATATATATATCTATATATACTTATTATATATATTATATATATAATATAATATATATATTACACGTATATATATATATATATAGACTGCAACATGTAGTGATAGAGGTAGAACTTTTGCTGGGAGGGGACATGGCAAGATCAGGTGTGTGTGCGTGTTATGTGTGGTGGGTTGTCATGAAATGATTATTGAATGAAAATAAAGTTTACTGTGTTGGGTGTCTAAATTGGTTGTGGTAAGCATGTGTAAAAGTATGACATAGTTGATGACCCCAAGTTCCCCTTTTGTAAGCATATGAGGATACCAGGGTAAGTTTAGCATATAATACCTCATGTACAGAAAAAAGTGAAGAGCAGTAAGATGGATATTGACAATTAGAGCTTTAAGAGCTCTTGGTTTTTAATGCAGAACAGATCTGACAACCCAAGCACTACAATAAGGAGCTGTTACCTGTTGACAGATAAGTTTTGCCGCAATAGTGGGCCTAACGGTTTATTGTTGTTGTTTAAGTGATAGGCATAGAGTTGACCCCAGAGTTGAGGTGGGAGTGCTCAACCCTTTTTCTTTT